TGGTTTTCAGGATAGGCAGAGAACCATACGGTAAAGCTCCAATACTAGCTATTTTATTAAATATTATATATTGTTTACAGGGCCATTCGCGGAGTAGAAGATCCGCGATGCACCATGGAGCATGTCCCGGAAGTAAATGCGCAGCTATCCGAGGGCTCTCGGTTCCTCCAATTCCAGGCCTCAAGGCTGCACATGTATTATTCCACGAAAAGCCTCGAGGTAAGTTAAAATTGACTAGTAACCCTTTACTTACTGATACTTCTTCATTTCAGATGGCGCAGAGGCATGGGCTCTACGCGTTAGTAGCGGACGATGTGCATGACTTGCAGCCGGACGCTACTAACAAGCTCGGTTAGCTATACACCATTCACGGTGTATGCAACAAAACGCTAGATGTCCCACTGCTTTCGCCATCCCGACGGGGAAGAACATCAACACCTATAAGGTTATCTTCAGGCAGCTGCGGGAGGAGTTGGAGAGGTTCGGGCCGCTGGACAGCCTGCGCATAGTGTTGGATTTTGAAAGAGCCTCGATTACGGCGTCACGGAAGGTGTTTCCTACGGGTCCGGTGGAGGGATGCGGGTTTCACCTCGCTACGGCTTGCAATAGAAAGAAGGACAGAATCGGTATGAGGAAATACATCAAAGGTACGAGGCTTCAAACCCTGTGAGTAAGAAGTAAATCATAATTTGTTTCAGGAGCTCACAGGGACGAAAAAGTAGTGCGATGGTGGAGCACTGTAAAGGGGGTAATATTTTTACTTAATTACTTACATAGAAGGCTACCAGCCCTTCACCGACCTACTACACCAAGTGGGCATGAAGCCTATCCCATGTGCTGCGAATTCCTGCAGTACATGCAGTCCACTTGGTATGAGAGGCCCTTCAAGGACATGTGGAATAAATGGGGGGTAACGGCCCGCACGACAAATGCGGCAGAGGCCTTTCACAGGTATAGCATGAACAACTGATGTAACAACATGTATTGCACATTATTATTTAGGCTTCTTGGGTGCCTTCTTCAAGGCAAATATCCCTCCATGGCCATGCTGCTGCGGCGGCTACAAAGTTGCAACACGAACGCGCGAGGCGATTTTCTTAACATGGAGAGGGTGCGTCTCCTTATATCACATGAACATTAACCTCAATGCTTATTACAGAGGAGGACTGAGAGAAGATATTAGCGGAAACGTGATACAGAGCGCCGGGATAGGATTAAAAGGATGATGGATAGCTATTGTGATCAGATGAAGACATCTGAAGGCAATGCAATTACGACTTCTAGTCATGAGTATGAAGTTGCGAATTTGTGTTCCCTCGAACATTGCGTACAGCTTGAAGAACTTTATTTTAGTCCAGACTAGATAAGATCAGAAAGGAGGCAATCCTGTTCTCGGTATATAAGTATTCGCAGAGCAATAAATCTTTACAGGAAGGCAAAGTATTAAGTCGACACTTTTTCTTTGACAGAAACGCTCTAATTAAAACTTATTTTTAACACCTCTGCTCATCAAATAATATCAGCAACTTTTCGTTAGTGTGATTGAGTTCTGTAACAAGAAATGTGATTCATAGTGCAAGGTCTTTTGTAGCATGAAACGTTTGGGGATAAATGATTGACAATACTCAGGTAAAACAGTTTGATTCGTGTATCTGTCTGGATTTCCTGTGTCTTTGCCAACCACTATAGCCATTGTATCTGTTTTTCTTTCCTTTCATCAAATACTAGAGAGTAGAGAACTCGAATGTGGTACAATTTCAGCTACCTTCAAAAAGATCATAATAGTATTTTGTAATTTTGTAGCTAGCACGAATACAAAAAATGAAGCGAAACGTGTTTGTATATATGCATACTTAATATTGGTTGTAACACTAAATGTGCTAGAG